AGATTATAGAAGAGAACTGGAAAACTATAAAGAAGGAAAGCCAGCACACCTGGACCTAGCATCCAGTAGTATGGCTCGCTGTGGACATCAGTGTCCATTTTCTTCCAAAGCTTTAGAAATGTGTTTTCTGGTCCTGTATGTTTATACTACTTACTTACAGCTTTATATTTACACAAATTTGAGCATAAGCATTTTTCCAAGTTATTAACAGCTCTTTGGATATATCTCAATGATTCTGTAATGATTCACAATTTATGTAGTTATTCATGTAATGAATATTTAGTTTGTCCCCCATATACACCGTTGCCAATCATGGTGCCATGAATATCTTTGTTCTCTACCTCTCTCTGCTATCTAGCTGATAATGCATTCTGTGGTTACACCTCTCTGGTTTAATAAGAATATGTTTATGCTAGAGCCAGCATCCTGTTTCTCTCTCTGTCTCTCTCTCTCTCTCTCTCTCTCTCTCTCTCTCTCTCTCTCTCCTCTCATTCTCTCTCTCTCTCTCTCTGTCTCTCTCTCTCTCATTCTGTCTGTCTCATATTAGTATGATCTCATCATACAGTTCCCTCTTATAAACATGAGAAGTAGGAAATGGTTGCATACTGTCAGGTATACACTAGGCTTGTTTTGTCTATAGCTTACTAGAAACTAGAAATCTAAGTCATTACAGATTGGAAATACATCTCAGTTCTCCTAGAATCCACCCGTGTGAGCCTACTGTCAAAAAGAGAAGCTTGTCTTACTAATCACCATGAACAGCATAATGCAAAAACAACTGAATAAAGGCATGTTTGAGGCCACAAGCACTTTCATATTTAACAAGTATAGGCTTTTAATAAGGAAAATATAGAGCTACTGTCATGCAAACTATTTTGAAATTTTATGTTTTATGCTTATAGTCAAAATAATTTAATTTTCAATAATGACTTAGATGTCTCTTTTGTGTATATTCCATGATGGTTGAAAGACATCATATTACAGTGATCCATTCAAGCCCATGTTTATAGCAGTACAACTCATAATAGCTGAGCCTGGTAAGCAGCATACAGGTTCATCACAGATGGATGGATAAAGAAAATGTGGTATACATCCCCAGTGGTGTACTACTCGGCCATAAAGAAGAATAAATTTGAATTGTGTTCAGGGAAATATATACATTTTGAGTCCATAATTCCAAGCAGAATAAGTCAGATATAGGAGGTAAAATATCACATGGCTTTTCTTATGTGAGAAATCAAAAATATAAATAATTTTAAAAGCAAAATAAAAGGTAGATGGTAAGAAACAGAAGGTAGACTAAAGTAGACTTTATGGAGATGGGAAGGATATCTATGGGTAGGGGGGAGACCAGATGGCAAGAAGGGAGGTAAAAGTGGAGATATATATATATATATATATATATATATATATATATATAGAGAGAGAGAGAGAGAGAGAGAGAGAAACAGAAACAGAAATAAAGAGACACAGAGACAGAGAAAGAAAGCCAAAATATATATATATATATATATTCTGACAAAAAGAAATATATACTTCAGGAAAGAAAACATTGTATAAATATTTTAATACTAAGTTTATTAAAACATAATGATTAATAAACATTACATTTAACCTCTATAATTACAAGAGATGCTCAAAATGGCAGCCATGAGTTTCCAGACATTTATTAGTACAGCACACTGCTGCTTGGGTAACTTTGGTCATTGAGATTGCTGCATATGCAGTTTCTTCTCCAAGGGGCAGGAGTGTGGTGGGTTTTCTGTAATGCATGACATCTTCTAAAGTCCTCCTTATGAAGGTAACACCATCTGCAAAAAAATAGTATTCTTGTTTTCCTGATGTGTGTATAGATTTTTAGAATATATGTGTAAATTAGGTATGTCCTATATGCATGTATATTATATATACATATATGTTACATATACATGCATATTTTATGTGAGATATATCATAATATGAATCATTATATATTGTAAGCATATTCTAATAAAAAAGAAGAAAAACTAGCAAAAAATGTGTTGAGGTTGTTCATTTTGGGGGAAACTCAAAATAAATTGCATTGTGAACCTATGAACCATTCTGAGGAAAACACAAAAACAAAGTGACCCTTAATATCCTTTTCAAGCCTTAAGTCTATAAAAACACTGAGAAAACAGCATGCATTTGAATGACCAAAATGTCTGATCATTCTAAGCCATCTAATAGCTAAACTATAAAAGTGCCTAAACTATCTAATCCTGAAACCAGTATGTTTTTAACACTTTTGTTGGCTTTTCTTCAAACTCCTACTTTTCTGCTTTTTTTCTGCTCCTTTACCCACCTATGCCTGCATTAGTAGACTTCTGAACTGTTAATGATCAAGCTTCCCTATTAAGTAATGCTTCCTCACTTATAATCCAAATGTACGTTTACTTGTTTATGAATTTTCTAAATGCACCTGAATTAATGTTATACACTATAAAATTACACAAAAAGACATTTTTAAAATTTAAAGATGAACTATAAACAGAAATAGAAAGAAGTTCAAATATCTGTTCTTGACCTGTATGGATGGCCTTGCACACCTCTGGGTCACATACCCCTTAGAATAATTGACCCAGGCTGCTAGAATAATTTGCAAAGTGGGCTTGGCCTCATTTTTCTCATCTTCTGTCCAATCTCAAACCATCTGTCAAGGATCTTTTTAAAGTTTAAGTCTAGCCATATTTCTCATCTTCTGGAAATTCTTCTGTGATTCCAAATTGGTAACAAGGTAAGGTAGAAACTTCTTAGATCACTCCACAAGCCTTGTAAATTTTTGATCCCATTTCTTCGTTGATGACCTAATTTCCAGTCAGGGAACTGTATCGATTAAGGTTCTGTAGAGAAACAGAATCTATAGAAAATATAATTGTGGAAGGGATTTTATTAGCTTGTGAAATTAGAGGCGAGAGAGTCCATGGTGGCCATCTGTGCACTGAAGAGCTGGAGGATCCAGTAGCTGCTGGAATTTGGAAGCTGCAGAACAAGAGAGATCAAGGATGCAAGTCCAAGGTCAAAGGCCTGAAGGCTCCCTGGTGAGTCACTGGTATGAGTCTGCTTTGGAAGGCTGAAGAAAGTGGAGATTGATGTCCGAAGGCAATGGCAGTGACAGGTCCACAAGCTTAAGCAGACTGAAGCTCTTCAAAACACATGCCCACTTCCTTCTTTCTACTCTGTTCCACCCAAACTACAACCCTGTTGGTTGGTAGCACCCACCATTGGGGTTCACCTTCTCCCCTGAGTTTGCAGGCTACATGGCAGTCATCTTTGGAAACACTCTACAGACACTCCCAGAAATAGGCTGTACTAATCTGCTAGGTGTTTCTCAATCCAAATTGATGCATCAAAACTAACAGTCACAGGAACCACTCAGTATTCTGAAATTGAATGATATAGTCCATGTACTTTTAATTTTGATTGCAGATATGTTTCTAACCAGAACATCCCTCCTTGGTCTGCCTTCTTACTCATATTTAACCTTTGAAATGTGTTAGCCTCTTTGACATATTCCCTGATACCTTCCACCAGTTCTCCAACTCCTCCATATCAACTATTTTATTGTAATTTAATTATTTATTACTGTCTGAGTCTACTTCTAAATTGAGTTGCTAGAGACTGGAAATCTAATTTGTTCACTTTTGTATTTACTGAAACCTCATGTATCAGTGGTAGCACATGGCTATATGTGTTTGTGGAATACATGAAGTAATGGCTGAGACATCATGCCAAAACTACTGTAAGAGACTACATATTCTGTCTGATGAAACACTATTGTACATAAAGATGAACTAAAGTGTGGAGATATCATTTAGCCAAAATCTATTATTCAATACCATAGAACAAGTTCATGAGTTTAAAATTGCTTAACAAAAGGGTGATGGAGCTGTTAAAAGATCCCTCCTGTCCATCAACTGTTACTGCTACTCAAATGAGGATAAATTTTAAAAGTTATATTGAGTTTTGACATTTGACAACTTACAGCATCAAAGATTGTAATTAATTGATATTCATAGTTGATCTTTAATAGTCTTGGATATCTTTAGGTTTGTTTATAGTTCTTTTCTACTTAAATATTTTTAACATCAAGAATTACTATGAAATTATTATTAAATTTTCATTTAGCTCTTGTTAATATGATCATTTTTCTCTTTGAAGTTATGATGCAATCAGCTATATTGATTTATTGCCTAGTGTTGGACCAGCATTCTTGTACCGTCTTCCTTGGTTAATGGCATTTTTCTTCTGATAGGAATGCGTTATGTTCCCTAACATTTCATCTGAGCTTTGCACTCATGACATAGAGTAATGCATTTCTGTTACTTACATCTAACTTTGGAGTCATGTAACTTTATTTTAGAAGTCACTTGAAGTAAGCATTGATTCTAATTTACTTTTGAATATGAGTATAGCAGTTCCCGTGGTGTTACTCAAATACTCACTTTGTGCCAGCATCTCTTTGTTGTATATGTGTTAACTCGGTTAAACTCTATCAAGCAGAAATTATTATTATCCTTATCTTGGGACAGGAAAACTTAGTGAAATAAATGTAAAATACCCAGGGTCACACAGAAGGTAAATTGTAGCGTTAGGATTTGAACTCAGGCTTCCTAGCCCAGAGCTTACCTTTTTAACTGTCATGTATTATTTCTCCAGCATGTTACAGGGGAAAACACAAATCTCGAGATAATTATTCAAAGAGAGAATACAATATAGTCTTTGTTAATAACCTGTGATTTTTAAAACAATGTAGAATGCATAAGATAAACAGCCTACCTACCACTTATTCATATGATTATACAGATTGGTGCATAATAGTATTTAACCATTAAAATTTTAAACAAAGAGTCAAATATATAGTTTGTGATACAGCACTTGTCTAGCATCTGCTAGCCCGGAGGTTCAATCCCCAACTCTAAAAAACTAAAACAAGATACTTCAAAATGCTATCAAAGTAATAATGTTTTTTTTCTTTTCAGCAATCTTGACACAGAAGAACTATGTGGTAAGTTCCTTTAAGACCAATCAAACCTATTACTTGTTTTAAAAGAGAAGAAAATGTTGCCTTATATATTTCTACACACCTTAAGTTAGTATCATAGATTAGGATTACTGGACCAAAATAAAAGATAAATCCAAGGATTTATCTTTATCCTTAAGTTTTGCTGAACTGTGTGTTTCTCTGCAGAAAAAAAAAAATGGGCCTCAATTTGTTCATGGAAGGAGAATTGTGACTGTAATCAGTGCTTTAGTTCACAAGCACTAATTTCCACAAGTTTGAATATATTTTTTAATTGGTGCTCCTGCAACTTCCTTGTTCTCTTCACAATATATTGGATAGGGACAATAATATTTCGCAATTATTGTTTTGCAAAGCTGTCTCCTTGAAAGGTAAGAATAAATTTTTCAAATTTTCTTAAACCAGTGTCAAACCTTAAACATCACTTAGAAAATAAGTAATTCCAAACAGAAGGAAGAGAAAACAGAAAGATTTTATATATTTATATGTATATATATATATACACACACACATATATGTGGTATATATATATATATATAGTATTACTAATACTATAAAATAGTAGTATAAAATACTACTAATTTCTATTAGTTCATTATTGAAAAGAAAGGTTTTGTTTCTACTGCTTGATCTATTTTTCATGCATATGTCTTGTAATCTGAGCAACTACTTTGAAGATAACATGTATTGTATTAGCCCTTGTTACTCTCCTATCTTGTTTTGAAATTTTATATCATTTTTATTGTTTTTTTCTCTTGAAAAGAAAAGAAAAAGGAAGAAAGAAAAAAAAAGATAACAAGTGATTCCAATAGGGGAAATAATCTTTACAATGGGCACTTCGTTTATTTTCTTCATCTGTGTAATTGGGTATACAGGCCAAAGATTAGAAGTATACAAAAGCAAATGCATCTAAAATTATTCATTTGTTATAAAAAGTTTTGGAGTATTATGAAACTATTCAATATGAAGTGACTATATTTCTCTGACTCCTGGAAGGTTTTAAATACATGTATAAAAATATGTCTTGTCTAATATGATGTTATTATCTTGGGGGCTTAAAACACTTGAGATGATTCAGTGTGAGTTTCTCTGTAATTCCTAATTGAATGAAAAGTCCTTCCTGAGTATGTTCTAGTTTTTCAAATTTTAGAGTTTGCCCAAAATACTAAAAAGACTATTTATAATATTTAAGACTGGTTATCTTTTATTTTGATAAAAAAAAAAGTAACATTGAGAGATATCATCTCAGAACAAAGTGTTGGAATAGATTTCAAGGCAATAACTGAACAAACAATTATGACAGCCCCTAGTGAGAGCTTTCCTGTTTTCCAGTGATCTTAAAACCCCTGTGCTCCTTTTCTTTCTCAGTGTACAGCCCAGGTTCAGAAATAAGAATTCAATTTAAAAAGCAAGGTATGACTACGAAGAAGCCAAGTGCTTTTAAATCTAAGTAGGTCATGCTTTTGCTGGTTACAAAACGCCAGCAAAAAGAATCCTGCTGTTGCTTTCACCGCAATGTGGGCAGTAGCTCAATTCACACATGGCTATCACCGTGCTAACAGAACAGTCCTTAGGAGCAGTGCCACCAGCTTTTATGATGAACAGTAGTCACCAAAAGATGGGGGTGGGATCCACATTCATCCATGAGTGGAAGTCCTTGTCAGTAAAGCAGAGAGAGAAGCTCGTCTTGATAAGCTCATGAAGGTGGGAATTCCAATGGCCTCAAAGATCTAGATATGTCAGGCCAAAGTAATCATTTCCTCAAAGCATTCAGTCTTTTTATTTTTATTTAACTTTGCCTGTATAGGCCCAGCTGATGAGAAAACAACTGTTCTAAGTGTTTTTAAGATTAAAAAAAAATTTAGCTGCTCTGTCTTATTTGCTATTTTGCCTGTCTATTGTCATTAAAGAATATTGTGTTAAATTCCACAGTCCCTTAAAAACTCTATAAAGTATGTATTCTCATTAATCATCTATAAAGATTTTTGTTTTCTATAATAAAGGAACTTAATTATCATGCTCTTCCTGTTTATTGAAAAGTTACACCATGATATCACCCCATAGTTTTAGTTAAATAACTAGTAGATGGAGCTTTACTTCTAACGAATTGCTCTGTTGTTTAGATCCAATGATTGTATTTCCAATCATGTTATAATCCTCCCCCTTTCTGTTCAAGAATATGCGTTTTAATTTCCAGAGTATCGTTTCATGTCTCGTTATTTTGTGAATATAAAGTAAATATTTAAGTTGGATTCTAATCAAAGCCAAATGCTTCAGTGCCAGCAAATAAATATGTAGATTCACACCCCACACAAGTTTCCCTTTGTGTGTGGGAGGGACAGTATTTGATTGACATAGAAAGGAGATTGTGTGTGCTTTTTCTTAGAAGCCTATTAAAAATTCCAACACTCTAAAGCTCTCATTTTGTTGTTTTGGCTTATTTTCTCAGCTTATTCAACTCTGAACCTACAATTCAAAATCTATTGAAATATTGATTTTTTTAAATAACTGATTTTAATTATTAAAGGAACACTAATTACTATTTTTCAAAAGTTAATGATACAAAATCACATAGGTATGTAAGCCAAAATGTTAAAGTTATTTCCTACCTCTCTTCACTTTTTCTGATCTTCACTGCTAACTGCTTTGAATGTATCCTTCCAGACATTTTGTGCATAGATTGACATTTATATAAATATATTTATTTATTGTTTTCCAACATTGAGATCATATAATGAGTATAATCACATACTCTTCTGTCTCACCTTATTACAAAGGCTGCATGGTGTTCCATTTGCATTCATTTTCTTCAACCAAATCCCTTTTAACAACTTTTCAGGTCACTTCAGCTTCCACTAGAGCAATTATTGAAATGAATATTCTCACATATATTATCTTTGTATACTTGTGTGTATCATTCTGTATGGAAAATCCCTCAAAGAATTGCTTATTCAAGGTTTTTCCAATGCACCCAGCCACCAGTACTTTACAGCAGTGCCTGATTGTTCATTCATGCTTCACACATCATTGCAAACCTCTTCCTTAGTGTAGCTTTTTGCCGTATGTTACAACTATCATCTAATATACAATTCAGTTTCACTCAGAAAATTGTATTTAAATCCTAGTGTCAAGGCTTTGTTTTATATTCATGTGATCTTTAGCTCTGTTCTAAAAAGTTCATGAACATAATATTACTTCCCTGACTCTTCCTGGTTTATGATCGTTTTTATAATTTGACTCATTTTTACTAAACTTGTTTGCAAATCTTGATAGCTAAGAATTTTGAAATATTTGTGGATTGATGAGGAGTAATTGTTATAAAATTCATGTAGCTTGGGTGCTTGATCTGAGAGCATATCTATGAGAAAATTTTGTGACCAGTGTAGAATATATAATAATGTATTTGCTCATCTAGTTGGTTAATACCAAATATTAAACTACTTTAACAAAGATGAAATATATAAATATAGTTATGAAAACCAAAGGTACAGGAAACTCACAGAATATAACTGTTTTAGTTTTTGTGCAAGATTCCTTTCAGGAGATCAGTACTAGGTGTCCCATTACACTAAAGAGCTCCCTCAACTTCACTGCCAGTAAGATGGGGTGCTGGAAAATGAGAAGACTAGGTTTTTTTCCAGGCTCTAAGTGCCAAGGCTACCTGGCAAACACCCTAGGTGAATGATTGTAAAATATTGAGTAAATATTGCTGTAAAATATTGCTGAGCTTCAATCTTCAAAATCACCTATAAATGAATAAATTTCTGATACTCAATCAGAGCATGCGGATCATAACTCCTTTCATGTTTCTATCCTACACACACAAACACACACACACACACACACCCCTCTATTGTTTTCTTTCCAGTTTAATCTATTGCTTGAGAAGCCCTAAAAAAGTATATGCTGTGTGTAATAAAGTTACCTTTTACAAAAAATTACAAAAATCAACACAGAAAACAAAATAAAAGTTTTTAGATAGAAACTGGCAAGATGCACCAGAAAAATGCAACCCTAGGCCTCCAGCATACCCAGACAAAGTCTAGGAGTCAGCAACATAGAGGAAAATGGAATAAACATACTTAATATTTCTGAAATGATAGTAAAGAAACAAATCCATGAAGCTCTAGAAGAAATCAGGTCAGAAATAATCTCTCAGGTGAAAAAAAGAAATGGCAACATTTATAAAGGAATTGCTTTATTTATAAAGGAATTGCTTAGCAAAACTAGAACAGAGGTAGATTTAAAAAATGATGATAGTAGGTACGGGGAAAAATGGCGGCGTGCTAGGGGATTGAGCGAAGAATCTCTCCAGAGAATTCAAACTCAAAGCTAAAAAAAAAAAAAAAAAAAAAAAAAAAGACAGCATGGAGAGGACCAGACAAATCCATAGCGATTCTTATCAACCAAGACAGTACAGCTGGAGGATTTAAAGTCGTGCTGAGACCGGAGGCTGCAAATCCCGCGCCCTTAAATCAACGAACAGACTCGTGGACCCAACACGAAAAGCTGAGTTGCTTTTGGGGACTGCGGAAACTGAGACCCAGATCGAGACTCCAGGCGGCAGCCAGTTCTGCACCGCTGCACCAGAGCAGATGTACAGAGCTCTGGCGTTTCGAATCTAAACGGTGCACAGAAATCTGACCAGTCAGCGCTGAGCCGCGAGGTGGGGAAAAGTGGACGGCTTGGTGTGTGGCGGTCCCGGAGCGGGGACTTGCACCGGACTCTGGTGAGTATAGAAAACCCCGCGGCGGCTGGGTTTGGCCAGAGAACAGCTGGCCCGCCACCACGGGGAAATCAATAACACAGAATCTGGTGCAGACATATTAGCCTGGCGGCAGAAATCGCAGCTTGGTGACATCACCAGGACCCCCTGTAGGGAGGGCTGGTGGAAGACATCTTGAGTCCTGGCAGAGTCTGATTGCTTGCTGGCTTCAGCTCCGCACGGAGAACTTAGTGGGAGCCATCTTGGTTTGGGGCAGATC